TGAACAGCCTGTTGGATATCTGCTTTGATAGCCACTAAGACTCCAACAGCAGCATGGGGCTGCTCTGTGAAAACTCTAACCTTCCCTCTCAAACTCTCGAGTACTTCATCGGTTTATACCTCTATGAAATCACTTTATACTCTTCTTTAACATTTGTTTAAGTTTATGAACACAAAAGAAGGTCTTTATCTGAAGGGAAGACTTTGACTCACTTGACATACAATTCCAACATTGTAACTGTACATGTTGATAATAATTACCTCGCAATAATAACTGAATTCACATGGCCGAGTGCATGAGATAACACTTAAATACTTCAATTAAAGTGCGGCTAACTCACTGAGCCGATAAGACCCGGTATATGAAATAAGGGCCTTGACCAGGATTCTTATATGAAATAAGATGTGTACTGAACGGTCTTTACCCTATTTTGGCACTATCTCAGAAAGAATATCTGGTGTAATTGGATCTTTCTTTGGCTTAACCAGTGTTCTTGTCAGACCTTTAGCGCGGTGTATGACACCAGAGGGTCTTTGGTTGTATCATGGTCCCCAACTAGCCATGAGATGAACCCATGACATGACAGCTAAAGAGTTTGTGACTGTAGATGCATGGTGATGTTGCAGAGTTCCAATATGGATCAGGTATAAGGCTACCATGTAAGGATCTGCGGGTAGGGATGATATTCCGTGCAACTCTGCCCATTGTCGCCATCTCGTGAAGGATGATCTGTACTGCGAGACTGTTGATGGGGCTTGTGACTCGAGTAGCATGGAAAGCAGTTGACTGGCGAGACTATATCCAGCTCTTGACTTTTGGCTGATTGAGGACTCCGCTGCCTCCAATTATCGCTGTTGAAGATGAGCTTCCAAACAGGAAAATAACAAAGATTGTTACTTTAACGAGATTAAAATCATGCGTCAACTTACTAAACACTTTCTTTATTAAGTGCATTTAATTAAAAGCGCATTTCCCACTGCTTATTGCTACAACTATACTCTGAATACAAAAGAACAGCTTATTTGCCAAATCTGAATCATCATCCGCTGGGGATATCAATTGTAACGTTTACAATACCAAACATCCACTGAGGATGTCACCATATTTTGGTGTAAGTCTGCTGAGACTGTCTTGTTTGCGTTCTGAACGCATCTCGTTATATACTTCTGTCAGAAACGACTCTGACCCTAACTTTTTTGCCACGTAAACCACTAAACTTTAGTATGGTGATACTCGTGGCTTTCATATTAAACCAATGGGGTTATCTTGGCCAAGATTAGGCCAAATAATAAACTAGGCTGACCATGCATGTTTCCATAGAAGGGTTAACTTAAGGCCAATTTCACTGCCTTCGATTCTCTCCGAGTCGAGCTTCGAGTCTTCTCGCTATCTGACCGATGCCCAAATATTCTATTGAATCCCTTTTGTACTACCAGTGCGTCCAGCGTCGGTGGAACAGTTTTGAAACTGGAGGAAATTTTTCTCCGAACAAGACTAGTGAACTTTGATGAGAAACAGATGTAAATACATCAGTGAAACGGGATTCTAAATACCTTTGGACTTTATACGAATCTCAAGTCAAGCCTACTAGAACTAAATCTTCTCTCTGGTTTTGAAGGAACTGGCAAACTCAATCATCGTCTAAAAGACATCTTGTATTTCTACACTTCTCCACCTTCGCACTAGACAAAACCACTTTGCTAATCCAAATACATTCTCCGCTTAAGTTAAGCATGTGCTCTCTGACTTTCTGAAAGCAATTGTTATAAAATGGAATAAGCTGGCAAATCTCTAAACCATCGTTAAGCAAGTCATCTGTACATGACATGTATGCATAATTCTGCATTTCTCACCTTCTGAACCAACTTCTTCACCACTTCAACCCGTTTTGAGCATTTTAAAACCAACCACTTTTGGTTTGAGCACTGTGCTCTCTATTCTATGGCTTTCTGAAGGAAACTGGAGTGTCCCAAACTGTCTTCTAAGACAACTCTCCTTGTTCTTGCAATTGCCCCTTTTCCAGCGATCGTACTATTTTGGTACAATTTAAAGACACATATGATGGTAGGAATTGGAACAAATTGGAAAAAAAAAATTCTGTGAAACCCAGGAAAACCCGATTGGTCAAACGCTCACAAGGTGATATTTAAGATTTTCAGATCAAACTTCAACGTGAATCAATACGTTGTCAAGGAACAAAGAAATATGGGCGTATCACCAAATTTGACTGATTGATGCCAGGGCTATCTACTCCCTTTTCGGACGACATTCACCTGTTGTCACTGAATTGAAACTTACAAAGGATTAATGATAAACGGCTTTATTATGGGTTTCCAACAAATTGTATATGGCAGAACATCGATTCAATCTAGGGCCTATATTTCGTCTCAACAAGTAGAGTGTGGGTTTTCTGAAATTGACCATTTTCTGAGACTGGTTACATCTTATAACAAAGAACTAGTGTAAAAGTCCCCACAATTCACGATGGGAAAGTAATTCTCCAGAACATTCTTCGTTCGGAACCAGAAATCTCTCCGTTCTCAAAAAAATCATCTGTGAATTTCAACATCAGCAACTACATTTTTGCAAATTAAAAAGACTGTAATTTAACTTAGCTTCGTAAACTGGCTTTCTGCTTTCTGCTTTCCGATCTTCGGTCCATCTGCTATTAACAACTGTCTTGTCTTGATTGATACCGATGTAGGGGCGAGCTCTGTTGTCAGTAGCCTTGAATGTAATGTAGCTTCTTAAAATGAGATGTCGAATTGACTTTAGGAGAGCAAAACTGCCATCTCTCCCATTTGCTGATATAACGCAATGGAAGTACAGCGCCACAAAAATTGTGTGTTGTCGTTGCTGCTCGCAAGCGTGAAGTGATCTACCTTCAATCCAACCACGCACACATTCCTGTGCCACTCCCTATTCAAATTACGCGCTCTTAACCACTCTACCGTGTCTCATTTACATATCAATGATAAAGCAGATTTATTCTAATTCGTCCCGGTACTCAACCGAATAAATCAATATATTCACTCACCAATATTTGGAGGACCCATCAAAGCCAGTTGAATAAACCAAATATATTCTAAGTGACTTGTCTCATACCAGTACACAAAGCACAAACACAGAAAAACACACAGGTAACAGAACTGCATTATAATATTAATCACCAAATGAGGCGTATGTTTCAGGCTTCTCCCCTTGTATCGGATCATTGCTGGAACAGACCACGGGATATATGCGAAGTGGACCCTCTCTTGGTTCTGGAAGCGCCGTAGATGGGTTTCTCGTAGCTCCTTCCGTTGTGCTCTGACTTTTGGTATGACATCATCTGTGACGAATATGTTTTGGCCCTTGAACTTATTGTTCTTGAGGTGCTTCGCTGCATTTTTCAGTATGTACTGGCGATCGCTGTAGCGGAGAAGGCGACAGTGGATTGGCCGTGGTCGCGGGTTGGTGAGTTCGGCAGATGGGCCAGTCCTTGGTGGAGGTCCTGTGCGGTGTGCCCGGTCGATCTCAATATCTTCCACACCCTGGAGCTTCATATGGTTGGAGAGGAACTCGGTAACAAATTCCTCACAGGATCCAGACTCCGCCTCGGAACCTTCAGGGACGCCTTGAATGACGACATTGTTGCGTCGGCTGCGATTGTGTATGTCATCGATCTTGTCTTCTATGTTCCTAATGATCCTGAGGTTGTAGTCCGTTTTCTTATCGATCTGTTTGTTGCTGGTTTCGTCGTTGTCTTGCACAAAAGTCACAGATGTTTTCAAGTCAGCGATGTCTTTGGTATTCGTGGACTTCTGTTGGTTGACATTACTGAGGCGAACTTCTAAAGAGGTGAGTCGCGACTCTACAGTGTGAAGAGACTCCAGGATCTTGTCCAGCTTGTCTTCGATGGTAGTCAGCTTGCCACTGCATGGACAATGACCACTGCCGCCATCTTCCTCACTGTCGCTCGGGCTAGGCGATTCATTTTTCATGCTCGGTTTTCGGCGACGTCTGGATGTTTTCTTGATAGGTTGGTTGTCCGCCATGGTCAGAAGAAGTTTCCCGTTAGCTTATAATGGTACTGGCAATATTTAAATCATAAAGGCGCTGAGGAGATTAATTTTTGAGAGAGAGCAGAAAAACGTGCCTCCTTTACTCATCACGCATTTGTAAACGATTTGCTTTTTTTCATTTTTACAATGATTGGAAAATGGTAGACGGTATGGGTTCGTTTTCGAGTCCTTTTTCTTTTGACGATTTTAAAAACGACAATTGATTGGACCGAATTACACGGATCGGATCGATATAAGTCCATTATTTGCATTTGCCGGATTGAATCGGAATACAGGAAGCAAGTTTCCTCCAGGGGTGAGGTCGACTGAGAGTAGACTGTGGGAACGAGGTTGTCCCGCCTTCACTGCCTTTTGTGACACGGTTGAATGCAGATAGTACAATGCGAATTTACATAACGACGGATCACTGCTGTTGTGCAATACATTCTACAGGCCTTTTTATAGCTCCATGGTCATACTACCAGTCAAACAGGATACAAACAGGCTTTACTTTCGGAAATCCTTCATGCAGAATTACTGTTTCGGGGAAGTGGAAGGCCTGCATCTTTCGTCCTCATAACGGACCAACATGCCTATAGTATAACTATTGATACCCGGATTCATAGCCCTTACACATTCATTATTCATTGATAGAAACCGACCAAAATCACTTTCGGTAAAGAACATAATCTTCTTCTTCTTCTTCTTCTTCCTTCTTAGTGCTGCCTTCATATGTTGAAGATAAACGCACTGCGTTGGGCGCATGCATTGTCTAAAGACAACAGGAATTTGTACTCAGGTACAGTGCTATATGTACAGGTGCAAGTAAAAATCTGGTGGTGCGATTAATCCGAGCGGATGTCCCTCAGCGCAGACTTGAAGGCGTTGAGGGATGGGTATGCAGCAGGATCAACTGGGAGGTTGTTCCAGTCTCGGATGGTACGTGGGAAGTACGAGCTAGCATGAAGATCTGGTGTGTGGGATAGTGAATCTGGAACTGTGTCCTCTGGTAGATGTCGATAATTGAGTAAGGTAGTTGTTCCAAGGGATGTCGACCAAGTTGTATCTGATCTTGTACATCATCTGCAGGCGATTTTGGTGACGACGTTCCTGTAGTGAGGGCCAGTCAAGATGTTCTAACATGGATGTAACACTGCTGGTTCTTCTATAATCGCCCATGACGAAACGAGCCGAACTTCGTTGGACTTGCTCAAGCTTCTTGGTATTCCGTTGGGTATGTGGATCCCATGAAGTTGCTGCAAATTCGACAGATGGACGAATGAAGGTGGTGTAGACAGCTTCTTTGACTTTCTGGCTGCTGTGGCTCAGATTACGGGAGAAGAAGGCCTTGGTGCCGGTCGCTTTCCTGGTGATGTTGTCGATATGAGTATTGAAGCTCAGCCTGGAATCTATGTGGACTCCCAGGTATCTGGCTGAGGTGGAGACCCCCAAGACATGACCATGGATGGTGTATGAGGCAGGGAAGGGCTTCCACTTGTGGGTGACTTGGACAACCTGGCACTTTGTAGCATTCAAGTGCATCAGCCATTTAGCTTCCCAGTCCTGGAGGGCGTCTAGATCTTGCTGGAGGCTAGCTGTGTCATCGGTTGAGGTGATATGTTTATACAAAACACTGTCATCGGCAGATAACCTACATGTAGTTGTTGAGCTTCTGATGCATTCAGGCAGGTCGTTGATGTAGATTAGGAAGAGTAGGGGACCAAGGACACTCCCCTTTGGAACCCCGGATGAGACGATGGATTCACTACTCTTCTGCCCATCAACGAGTACAGATTGGGAACGAGAGTGGAGGAAATCTGATATCCATGCCAGTGTTGCGCCTCTAACTCCATAGTGCTGGACTTTCTTCAGTAGATGTCGATGTGGCACTTTATCGAATGCTTTCTCGTAATCGAGCAGGACCACGTCGATTTGTGACTTGCTGTCCAGTCCCTTGGTGAGGTCATCCAGCATACAGATCAGTTGCGTTTCGCAGGATCTGTATTTGCGGAAACCGTGCTGCGCATCTGACAGGATGTTGTTGTCGGTGAGGTGTTGGATCACAATGAATGATGTGCTCGCACATTTTGCAGAGTACAGATATTAGAGAAATCGGTCTGTAGTTGGCGGCATCAGAACGACTTCCCCTTTTGAACAATGGGACTACTTGCGCTATCTTCCATTGTGATGGTACCCTCCCTTGGTCGATTGAAGCCTGGAAAAGTAACGTTGCTGCAGGAGCAATCTCCGCAGCCGTCTGTTTTAGCAGCATGGTAGGTATCCCATCTGGTCCAGAGGCAGTGAAGGGCTTGAGATTTTTCAGGAGTTTGATCACTCCATTCTCGCTCACAGTGATGTTTTCCATTTCAGGATGGTTGCTGGTGCCTAGGTCAGGTAGTGGAGCTCCGTTGTCAGTTGAGAAAACCGATGTGAATTGCCGGTTCAGAGTGTTGGCTTTGGCCTTGGGATCCGTGTGTAGAAAGCCTCCTTCTTTCAGAGGTGCAACACCCATAAGATCACATCGCTTGGCTTTCACGAGAGCACCCAACTTCTTGTTCCTACAACCTGCTGGTACGCTGTGGATGATGTCATGGACATACGTGTTGTAGGAATTTCGGCAGATGTTTTGAGCCTCCTTCTTTAAACGCTTGAAGCGAATCCAGTCTCTGGCTTTGTTTGTGCCGCGAGCCTTCTTGAAGGCACGACCCTTTTGTCTCAGGATGTGTTTTGATTTAGAGTTGAACCACGGTTGATTGACTCTTGTGGAGCTAAGCTTAGATGGAACACAGTCGTTGATGATCTCTTCAAGCTCCAGTTGCAGTGCAGTAGCAAAGTCTTCAACTGGCGTTGAAGTAGTGAACTTTGAAGTGAAATCAACTGACATCTGATGGACTCTCGAGCGGATGGTGACAAGGTCGGCCCTTTTCCAGAGCAGAATCTTGCGCCGAACTGGTTTCCTCCTATAGGCACGGGCGTTCGCGTCCATGAATACCATGTCATGGTCGCTTAAGGCTGGGAGACCCGAGCATCTGTTAGTGAGGGAGGGTCTGTTGGTCAAGATGATGTCCAGAGTGTTGTCCCCTCTGGTAGGAAAATTGACCATTAGCCCCCAAAATGTCACCACTCCAAAATTTGGCTAATTCTAAAAATTGAGAATGGTAACCCCGGATCCTATAGGACACACCAACAGACACAATAAATGACAAGAAAGAACAAACTTCTAATATTTCCAATTATATTAACAACTCTCCAAGTTCTGAGCACTATAATTATGTACAGCAAAATCTTATAATCAAATTCTTCAATTTAAATCACACTCTTGATCTTGGAAGAAGATTCCCAATTCAACTTCAGATCAGGTGAATTACTTCCAACTTATTTAATCAATCAATGACAAGATCATAAAAAACACTTATGTTCAATTAATCAGTTAAATCACTTCCAAATTATTACATCAATCGATGACAAGGATCATAAAAAGAACGTTCAATCAATTAATTACAAAATCCTAAAAACACCACTGTTCAGTCAATCAGACACTATCAATTTGTTTCCAAATGTAACTCCAAATCTCTATCTCTCTCTCTCTCACAACAAAACAAACTCCAACATACCACACACAAAAGGCCCTAAACGGCGTTTCCGAAAAGTACAAAACGATCTATTCTTTACTGACTGACGTGATTTGTTCAACAATTAGGGTGGGCGTTCTCTGACAATTACCATGGCCTTGTACAAATGCTGTTGCGTAAGATAGAAGGGCTTTTTTAACACTCCACGAACGCCTTAGCTCTAAGTGAATGGGTAAAGTCAACGCGGGACTGACTGACACGTTATTGGTTAAAACTTTCGGACGATTTCATTTATGGCGGGGTGCACAGGTATATACAAAATAAAATAATAATGAGCGGAACGCATTAAACTACGGAAGCGTAGAAGGGCCAAAAGAAATTAAGAAAAAATTAGCTCCTATCTCGCCGCGGCGAATTACTATCTCGCCGCGGCGAGTTAGTATCTCGCCGCGGCGAGTTACTATGTCGCCGCGGCAAATTACTATTTTGTATCGGTGAGCGTCGGGCACAACAATTGCGATCCCTCCGGGTCCTATGGAACGCCAAAGAGGCATCGGCGTAGCCAGGGTTTTCATCCTAGGGGACTTGGAGAGGAGGGGGGGGGGGGGCTTGAGGTTACAATGGAGGGGCGACCCAAAATTTCATCCGAGCTGAAAGGCCGTGAGACAGGGTTCCTTCACCGGATATCCGCCCAATACCCGCCCTAGTCTAGTGTCCCACATACCACTCGGCCGGGCCACTATAGATGCTCTACATTAATCCGTGTTCCACTCGCGCTCGCGGGATAACTATAACTAAAACACACGGTCAACCGGAACGCTATACCATGGCCGGTTTTGCCGCAACGTTGACGTAAATATGACGTGCGCGTTATTATCATATTAATTAGCGTGACTCTGCGTGACTTCCCGTGGGTCTTGGTATAGACCAATCGAAATCAACCAAAAAGGTTAATATTTTTTTTGGGTGGAGAACTCGTGAAGGAGGGAGTCGTAAACTTTGTAACTGCATTCCATATGGATAGAACCTTATTAATATTCGTGACGCTTGAAAGTATTGAAAAATGACGAACTCAAAGCCTATTTTTCAAATTGTAATGAAAAATACTGAACATATCAAAACGATTTTTTAGTACATAGTAGGATCATGATCTCTGAGATACGGCCTTCAAAACGGGAGTAAATGATGTTTAAAGAGTTAACCCGCGAACATCCAAATGTCTGTGTAACGGTAATTTGAGCTATTTCATTCAAATCGGTCGTAACGATCGAAAGACGGTACATTACAGTAATTACTTTCCCCGCCCTCTGAGAGCTGCAATCATAATGTTGAATAGTTGGCAGGGTCATCCTCATCCCGTACGCTAATGGATCTGGCATTCAAAGTGGATAAACCACCTGTTGCCGCCTATTGAACTTTGTTTTCTTTCTTAATTTATTCTTAACAAAAAAAGAAAGGACAACTTTATAATTACATATATTATTTCATTCATCGGACGTACTAACTAAAGAATTTAGAACCCAGCCCTGTGTGGGTGATTAGGTTGTTAGTTTTGCCAGAAGTTGATCACAGATTACATAAATCCATCACCACTCGCGAAAATCCATCACCGATTGTGACAGTCAATCACCGATTGCAAAACTCCACTGCCTATCGATAAAGTGCATCACCGATTTGGTGATCACATTAAATGCCTCTTTGGCGTTCCATAGAACCCAAAGAGTATCGCTATTCGTCGTGCCTGACGTTCGCCGATGCAAAACAGTAAGTCGCCGCGGCGAGTTACTATCTCGCCGCGGCGAGTTATTAGGGAGGTTTCGCAAGCGAACGGATACGCTTACAAATACGTTTAGCTATCCGTATCCGTTTTTTACTTACGTGTAGCGAGCGAGATATGCGTGTCGTCTGCACGTATGACTTCATACGCCACTCACTATCCGCTAAACGTGCAGACGACACGCATATCTCGCTCGCTACACGTAAGTAAAAAACGGATACGGATAGCTAAACGTAAGTGTAAGCGTATCCGTTCGCTTGCGAAACCTCCCTAGTAACTCGCCGCGGCGAGATAGTAACTCGCCGCGGCGAGATAGGAACTAAATTTTTCTTAATTTCTTTTGACCCTTCTACGCTTCCGTATTAAACACATGATCGGCGAAAATAATTATATACTTGTCGGTTGCACTGTAACAATTCACCCCCAGTTCTGTAAGAAAATGTCTTACATTTTCTCCAGGAGTTGCAGTGCACAATTTCTACAGACTGCGACTAAGGAAATCGGCCCCTACATTGTCCGTGCCCTTGATCGCTACTATTGTCAAGCGATATGGCTGTAAAGCCAATGCCCAGCGCATAATACGGGAGTTAGCGACTTTGGCTTTTTGGATGTATGTCAGGGGTTGGTGATCTGTTTCCACCAAGAAATGGTTGCTGTACAAATAACTCTGGTAATTTTGAACACCCCATACGAGAGCTAAACACTCTTTCTCTATGGACAAGTACGCACGTTCGCGACTGAGTAACTTACGACTCGCGAATGCAATGGGTAAGGGAATACCATCTTGCTCTTGAAGCAGGATTGCACCGATACCGGTATCCGAAGCGTCGGTTCGTAGAACGAACTGTTTCTCGAAATCAGGTAATGTGAGAATTGGAGCTTTCGATAAACACTGTTTCAGTTTGTTGAAAGCTAACTGTTGGCTTTCACCCCACGTTATTTTGTTCGGTTCCTTAGCCTTAGTTTTATCTGTGAGCGGAGTTGCTATGGCTGCATAATTTGGTATGAATTTGCGATATAGCCGGATAATCCTAAGAATGACCGAAGTTGTTTCTTTGTGACCGGTGGCGAGGCATCGAGGATTTTCTTGAACTTGTCCGTTTGTGGTGTCAATTTGCTGGAGCCAACATTGTGACCTAGATACGCGACCGTACTCATACCTACTGAACATTTGCTTGGTCGAGCGGTTAGACCGGATTTCTTGAGTCTCTGAAATAGGTCATTGAGTGTTCGAACATGGACTTCCCAAGACTGAGTATGAATAAGTATGTCGTCGATGTAATTACTTACATGATTCATGTCCTTGAGTAATGCGCGCATGACGCGGCTGAACGTAGCTGGTGCATTTATAAGGCCGAACGGCATTACCGTGAATTATGTACTGTTCTTTGACATATATCGCACGATCTACAGTATCGCGTTACATCGGCTTGAACCCCTGGCCCGAAAAAGTTACTGAAGACTCTATCCGTAGTTTTCTTTGCACCTTGATGTCCTCCGAGGATACTTTCATGTGCGATTTTCATGACATGATTTCTGTACTCTGTGGGAACTACTAATTGATTACACGGTTGACCGAATTTGTGATAAGGAGACTGAAACTCGCGATATAGTAAACCGTCTACCACAGAGAAAGTTGTTCTGGAGCCGTTTCTAGTTCGTTTCTCGTCTTTGCTCGCTGCCAGTTCTCGGATACGGTTAAGATCGGTATTGTTTTCTTGTGCAATTTTCATCTGCGTGTGATCAATATCTGGTAATTGTTCCGCGACTTTTAGTGTTTTCATAGGTTTTTCTTGTCTTAGTTTTTGTGAACGGGTTTCGACCGCACAACCGAGTTCTTCACAAGTGATGTCGGGTTGCATGTTTGATGGCTTAGACCAATTTGTATTGGGTTCTTGTGGTCTCGTGCATTTGATATGTTGCCTATGATTACATCATATACCGGATTAGGCATACAAAGCGCCTCATGATGATCCTACAAAATAAGGTATATCTAGTTCGACAATCGCGATCGGTGCTTTGCGGATCGTACCGTCTACAAGTACACAGGTTCTATCTTGCCCGGTTAATTGATCAGCGGAAACTAAATCTTGCCTTATCACGACGGTGCTACAACCGGTGTCGCGTAATACGGACACGCTAGTGCCATTAATCAAACCGTCGGTAACGGGCATGTTTGTTGGGTTTTTGTCGCGACAAGCGGCACTCATGAGCGGCAATTCGTGTCCACACTGTTAGTGAAGTTTCCCACTTTTAACACAGCAGGTTCTTAATGGTTGTTGAGCTACCATGCAAGCGACTGTTTCAGATTTTTCCGAATTTGAACTACATGTTTCACTGGTCTGATTTTGGTACTGCGATGGTTGAGGAGTAGTATCAGGAGCAAGAACACTGGTAAGTGCTGACGCGATGATATTGGCAACCTTAGTGATATCTTTTGGCCGACTTCTGCAATCTCTTGCAATGTGTCCCTTTTTGTGACACAAGTAACACGTTCTGATTTCGTGATACGAACTGCCTTGACTGGGATTACGAGTTTGTTGCGGCCTACTAGTTACTTGCGACTGTTTGGAGTGTTGAGTTGGTTCTGGTCTGCGCGATGTGAAATTACTTTGGTGTGATTTCTTCTCGCGTGCTGCAAATGAACCGTGAGCGTCGGTATACTGTTCCGCTAGACGAGATATTTCTGCCGTGCTACGCGGTTTCCTCTCATTTAGGAACAACCGAAGCTCTTCGGTACAGCGATTTAGGAAC